TTTCCCTCAAATGGAAATCAAACCGAAAATGGAGGAATCATCTGGAGTGCCGAAATCGGATCAGAAAATTCAGTTTGGAAGTCTTGCAAATGAGGAGACCGTTCAAAAGATTGTAATTTTTACATTCATTATCGCCTTCTTAATTCACTGTATGCGTTGAAGACCCTCGACTCTCTCACTTTATTGTCCTCGGCTATTTTAGTGTGCAAAAAATGAGGTGTTATCTCGCCTCCTCGAAAGGAGGTGCGAACGCCCGTGGTTGAGAAACCCCGCTCTTGGCTATGTTATCTCGTAAATCAACGTCATGCAAATAATAGCTGAGGCTGATTTCTATGCATTAAATGTGTACCTTCTATAAAGTCAACATACTTAAAATTTTCATGAAAAGTCTCTTAGTACTAACATACTGAAGTGTTCATTGATGAACAGAAAACAGTAAATGAAATGAAAGATTTTCCCGAAGTAATAAGTAATCACAAAAATAATAGTATAGATAGGAGCGTTAACAGCAATAATCAGCAAATATTGAAGAGGGAATCAGAAAGAGGTGAACGAGAAAAAGATCCTCATGAAGAGTCGATGGAATTGGATTCAATTGACAATCCAATGGAACGAGAGGTTATGGCTGAATTCGAACGGCGACGACGTGCTAGAACACTGACCTTACCAACTGATGATGGCCATGTGAAGCTGTTACTCAGAAAACTTAATGAGCCCATTTGTTAGTGTTTTTGTCACATTTCACGAGTTGAATCCTTTTGTTGCATTGTGATTAAAGTGTTTTGAGTGTATGATTGTATTCATGAGATAAGAATATGCATTCATTTCAGTGAATTATTCAAATTTTCAAAGGTCTGTTATATCAAAGTGATTTTTTGATTTCTATAAAATCCATCGGAAATCGTGATTTTAAGTATTTTTGAAATTCGAGGTCTGTTCGGTGAGGATAAACTGGATCGTAAAGAGCGTCTTCGAACAATTTTGTCGACAATGCCCGAAGATGAAGTGACACGAATATTGCACAGTCCCGATGANGTTGATCAAGCACCACAAACACAGAGTGACACATCCACTTGGTATCACCGAGGCATAGAGCTCTTAAGAGATGCGCGAGTTGCGATTGCTGACTATTCGTTACCGCGTGCCAAGCAACGACTCCAACGGGTGGGTCTTCCTCAGATGTATCATTAACCATTTATCACATGAAGAGAGTTATGAAACCTTTCGAAATTTCTAAGAGCGGAAATTTTGATAGAAATTTCTGAAGGTGCAAAATTGCCGACACTACTGAATTATTCTCATTCAATGTGTTAATTGTCTAAATCAACGTGTTTTTGATTCTGAAAATATTTTTTGATGAGTCAGAAATTTTTTTTGAAATTTTTGAATTAATTGTTTTTGTCTTCAAGCTAAGTGGCTCGATTTGTATTGAGTGGAATTTGTGTTTTACGAATGAAATGTGAGCAGTTTAGATGCGAGATGAAGCAAAAGACGGTGGACACCGCAAAGCAGTGGCCGTTCAGGAGATGCATCGTTGGGTGGCATCGCTATCGGTTTATGGATCTCAAGTGGCCGATGTTAGACCGGTTTCCTACTGTGAATTTTCGCCGGATTCGCAGCATCTCATCACTTCAGGATGGTCAGTGAACATGGAAATATTACCGATTCTCCAACCGTTTGAATTTGGTGATGATTGTGATGACAATAACAATAATATTATTATTACATCACAGTGCTTGAAATCATTTCTTTACACCATGCTATTATTTTAGTGTTTTCATTTTGATTGTTCTCAGTTCACTGATCATGAATCGAAAAGATTTTCTACTTTATGAAACATTATTATTATTACTTCAATAATGCACCAAATAATTTCAACACAAATAATTCATTTAAAAATAGGGCAAATATTTGCAATTTGTTAGAATTCAGAGTATGTTTTGGTAAGAAGATGGAAAATTGTTCCTATTGTCGTATCACCGAGGAAGTGATGCAGTTGTTGAGTAATTGTTCTGGTTGATTTATTTGGAATTGGATTTGAGGTCAGGCGAATGCAGTGTTTGGACAATACCGAGTTGTGAACGCGATCGTAAGTACACCGGTCATACAAGTCAAGCGGGTTGCGCTCGGTTCCATCCCGGCGCATACATATCGCAAGATTCATTCGCGGTGAACGCGGCCAGTTGTGCACACGATGGCACCATCAAATTGTGGAGTTTAGAGGCAAGTGAGCCACTCTGCGAACTTGATCCACTCCCACAACGTGTGGCACGAATCGCCTTTCATCCATCCGGAAGATTTTTAGCTGCGTGTTGGTTAGTTGGGCCTTTTTTTTCTTACTTTATTTCAATTAAGTGGGTGAATTGGAAAAGAAATTTATGAGGAATCGATTGAGAATTTCTTTGCCCGCTATGGTAATCTAATGGCAATCTCTAGTTGTTTTTTGTTTGTTTTTTTTTTCACCAGTTGCTGATTTGCTCCTAAACTAGGTAATGTTTTGAATTGCAGTTTCGACTGTTCATGGCGACTCACTGATTTGGAATACGAACAAGAGATTCTTATCCAAGAAGGACATAGTCGTCCAGTGTTTCATGCTGATTTTCAAGGAGATGGCTCACTTTTGCTGACATTGTAAGCGAATTCATGTGTAACAGCTGAACTCCTTCTTCGTTTTTCTAAAACAACCTGAACTTACTAATGGTGGAGTGGAGTGGAGAAATCGTTTTTATTTCATCTTCTTACCGAAACATGCTCTGAATTGTTACAAATCACGAATATTTGCCCTATTTTCAAATGAATTATTTGAGTTGAAATAAATTGATCCATTATTTAAGTAATAATAATGTTTCATAAAGTGGAAAATCTTTTCGATTCATGATCAGTGAACTAGTCGATTGAGAATTGATGTTGTAGAGGTATGGATTGTTATGGTCGAGTGTGGGATTTACGTACTGGTCGATGTGTGATGTTTTTAGAAGGACATTCCAAGGAAATTCATTGTGGACAGTGGCTTCCCAATGGGTATTAATAATAATATTAATAATATTAATAATACTAATAATAATGATAATTCATCGTGTATATTGATCATTTATTTAATTGTTTATCGTTTACAGTTCAATAATATGAAAAACAGCATTTCACGCAATAGTGTTTGTTTCAACTAGAAGCTTGATTATTAGTCTTATGGAAGGTTTTCTCTAGTGAGCCTTCAGTTCGATATCAGTTTCAAGCTTGTACATATTTGGTCATGTAATTCAGCTATCAAATGGTAACTGGATCAGCGGATAACAGTTGTATGGTATGGGATTTGCGTATACGTCGTGCACTGAAACCGATCGCAGCACACAACTCGCTTGTGTCCGGTTTGAAGGTGGATTCGAAAGGATTGTATATGATCACGTCGTCGTTCGATAATTCGTTAAAGGTAATAGACAGTGTCGCATTTTAAATTTGATATTTGTGCTGATTTAAATTTGATATTTTAAATTTCTTGTAACGGGTGATTATTTGATTCATTTATGTTAACGTGGGATTTATTTTAGAATTGTTGTTTAAGTAATCGGAAATTAAAATTACAGGTTTGGGAAACAGGCGGATGGTGTCCATTGCGACAGCTGCAAGGTCATGACACAAAAGTGATGGGATTGGATATATCACCGAACGGTAAATGGGTCGCGAGTGTTGCGTTTGATCGTACTTTCAAATTATGGACGAAACAATTGTATTGAATTGGCGATTGTCGTTTATTGTTCTTCGCTACCGTTATTTTTCTTTTTGTGTGTTTGATTCGTTTTGAAATGAATAATTGGACTCGATGGAAAGCTGCCACAAAGAGCGCTTTTCATTAGTGATTTTTAATTATCGATCTTGTTAGTGAGAAGTTCGGTTGGAGATGGGATGATTGATATCTAAATTGATGGAGAATGGTAGATTTAGTCACATTCAGTTGAGGGTGGATGATTGCATGTATCATGCTTGCGGGTGGTGAAGAAATTTTGATATTACGAAGAACGGGATTTGAATGGGCATCATATCTGTAACGGATGATCTCTAGTTATTTTTTATGGAGCTTTCAAAATTTTCAAAAAGTCAGTATCAATCAGGCCGTGAATTGATATGAGAGATAATCTATATGAGCGTTTTAAACGCTTGTTTTGATTTACTGGATTAATTTATTTCCGTTTGTTTTAATTGTGTGCTTTATTTTGATAATCAATCATTGTTATTGTTATCGTTGTTACAAACGTTGGTGTTGAATGAACGATTGAAGTTGTTCTTGAAATAGTTTCTGATGTATGTGTATATGTGATTGGCTGAAACATTGATAAAATTTTGGATCTTTTCTACCGATCGTTTGCGTCAAACTGATACGATGCACACATTAGAGGGTTCCAAATAGACTCGCGAGTCATGAAATGCCCAAATTTCACCAGCAGAATAGTGTATGTCTGCTGCGGGGTGTGGGAAGGCCAGAGGAGAAGTTTTGCAGTTGGTGACCCCGAAAATGTGACTCCAATCGGGATCTGGGTTCTACAATACCGCCAAACTCAGCACATTTGATCTTTGAGATGTGAAAAATGATACCATTCTATAGGGAGGGATATCACGAGTACCATTTTCAAACCAGCTGTATCCTCAAGTTTGCCCAACAACATTAACATTTCTTGTTAGTATCCGATTCAGCACACTTTCAGCTTTCAGAATGTCACAAATGTTGTCGTGGGATTTTGCTTAGTTGAAGAGACGTAACTGATTTTTTGAAGATATGTCAAACTACTCGAACGATTCTACAATATCGCCACACTCACTATCAGTGCATTTGATCTCTGAGATGTGAAAAATGCTACCTTTCTAAGAGAATATCACGAGTATCATTTTCAAACCAGCTGTATCCTCAAGTTTGCCCAGCAACACTAACATTTCTTATAACCATCCGATTCAGCATATTCTCAGCTTTCAGAACACTATATATAGTCATGAATTGCCAGTGTGTTCAATAGGAGGTGCGATACGGAATATCGAAGTTCGTTTCCGAAAGCACACATCAAAAAACAGAATAGAGTCTAGTAAGGTGTGTTTTAAAGCGATTTTAGCGATTTTTGCACATTAGAATATGGTACGTCCGAAATTCTTCAGTGAGGGCTACATAGTGTTCAGGAAAGAATTACTCTCCAAATTGAATGCAGTGTCGAGAAATTAGTGGAGACGTCGACGATTTGGTACAATGAATGAATACTTTACCATAAAGCGTGATAATTTAAAAAAATGAAAGTAATCTCCAAAGGATTTTAAACGGTTCTTTAATCTGCATATTTTCATCGATCCGTTCACCTCATATAAGCAAATCGAACATAACAACGAAATCAGATTGCTTGTCAATATTTGACTATTTATTGTACATTATTGATTTGACAGGCGGTTCTTTCCTAATTCGTTTGACACTAATTGCCCATATGGGCAGAAACTGATACATTCAACAAAAAAATTTCAATCTTCTTGGTCGATTTCAACAGGTTGGAGAATTTTATGGCATTGTGATTGGATCTGCAGAATTGTACGTAGGAATTGGGCATGAAGGATTGTCCCTCGTCGTTCTGCGTGGAAATTTCTCAGAGGGCAATCGCATGTGCTTCTATAAGCCATGTTCTGTGTAAAGCTTGTCACACGTATTCTAATTTGTCTATTTCGATTCTTTTGGGTGCTATTTGATTGGATCACTTCTGTTGAAGGCATTTCACCGATAGATTAATTTGCGACAATTCAAAATGGATCCAGCAATAATGACAAGAAATCAAAATAATGAAATAAACAATGACAGCTCCATTGATTCACAGCTTTATTCAGTGGTAACGTTGTTTCTCATTCACACTTCCAGTTGTTCACATCTCTTTCAAGTGAATTTATTTTAAGCCATTCATTACCTCCGTTATAACAATTATGATTATGGACGCTAAGCTTGAATTTATCAGACCTATATTTCTATAGTAATGTATAATATTTATTGATCTATAGTGATCAAATGCATATGAGTTAGCAGCATTGCGCTAGTTGAGATGATAGCTTTAACAAAATAGCTATATCTCCTCAACAAAGCAAAATCGCCCGACAAAATATATATTTTTCTGAATACAGAGATTCTGCTCGATCGACTAGTGTGAAGAAATTGATATGTTACCGGTCAAAGCTGAGTGTACGGTAGGCTTGAATGTGCCAACCCCTATAGCACGATTTTGTGACTAAACACGATTTTCAGTCATTTTTTAGCCTTTATCCACATTTTCAGCCATTCATAATCCCAACGGTCGTGCTCCTCTCAGTGATCTTAATGCTCATTATTTCGCACTGCGAATCCACCAATCGGACATATGTGGTATCTCCAAAAATTCACAACTTCGATCAAAATCGATCCATCAAAAGCTGCAATGAATTTCATTTGTAAGTTAAAGTGTGAACACCTACAGTTTGGAATTTCTGTTAAATCAAAGTGGTTATTTAAATTTTAGAATCACTAGAATATTCTCACGGGTCCTTAATAAAGATAAACACACGAGATTACAGATTGCAGTCGTCAACTCCTCACTGCAATTCGGTTGTGATCTGTGAATCGCCTACAATAGCAATGGTTTCGTCATCGTCAGTCAGCCCAACGCCACCTTCGAACTATTGTTGTACGGAAGAAGGCATGTTACTTCCGCTAAGGTTATCTTTCTGACCATATAAGTTATACTTTTGGTAATCATCTACCTTTTTTGGATTTTTCTATACCATCAGAATAACCACAATTTTATGATGAGAAATTCTTTGAGCCTTTTCGTTGAACATGTATCTATGCATATAGCATATCTCTTATTGTTTCGTCTTCCATTAGAAATTACACAGACACTAAGGAATTGTTATCTTTTTTTATGTGAGTACCAAATTTTTTAGTCTGCTAATCTGATGGATATATCACGTTCTTGCAGGCTTTGAATTATTGAAAAATTAATGAATAATTTCGCTCGCTCATGTCATTTCGTTACCACTCTATTCAGATATCTTTCAGGAACCTTTCGGATGAAAGCAATTTGAGTTGTTCGTTGATACAGTTGACGAATTCAGATGATATCGATGAAAAATGTCAAACAATCCGCCGCGACGAACGATTGCTTATCAAAGAGGCAAAAACGCCTAGTGTGATTGTATTTTCTGAGCGGGATAGTGATATTTCCATATAAATGATTCTGAGAGCATAATAGTGATTTCAAGCAAATAACATACAGACAGATTGATTCTGATTGATGTTCTTAATTGTATGAGAAGATATATGGGCATTTTACAGGAATAAATACTATTCTTTCATGTTATTTAGTAAATAATAAAAGAAAACGATCCGACCGATTTGATAGGTAGAAGTGGGATCATTTACGTTATTAACATCAATCTTGAGGCAAATTATTATAAGATAGGAGGGCAAGTAAGTTACCCTGGAAGCAATTTTTTGCCGCGAATGTAAGTTAGCTTTCTGGAAAGATATCCGCCATTCAATCTAACATCTTTGGTCGCTATATTATAAGTTATCAATGTCCGAAACGAATACAACTATTACGATTGTTTCTTGATCACTATTGTATTGAGAAAACGTGTTTTTATGAGTCACCTTTTATGCAGAATATTCTTTTAACATTTCTGATTCATATTCCTGATCAGTCCATTTTGCTTTAAATGATAATAATTTATTCACATTCTTATTTTTGCAATAACATTAGGACACGTATAATAATGTGTAGTGTGCGCCTTGTGAAGCATCCTTATGAAGCATTGGTCATAATTAATCAGTATGCAATTTAACGTTAGCTGATACTAATACTGTAACTTAATTACCTGGATTACCTGGATTGGCCAGGCTATCAAACGTTTATAACGTTGCTGGCCACAATGCTCGCGTTTCCGTGCGCATTGTTTTAGCCTTGATTGTAGCCACCCCGCTGGCTAGGCGAGCAGGCCAACTGTAACTTCATGTTGAAGTAAAATGATAATAATAATAATAATAATCAGTTGATCATTTCCTTCATGAATAGATCTGATGCTTTATAAGAAAGCGTTCACAGCTATGTCATTTCATTCCACTTGCAATTTCTTGTCGTTTGCGATGAACGTTTTAAAGATTCCCGGATAGCACTGACTGATGTGGTGAACGAGTGTCATCGTAAATAAACAAACGTCGTCTTATTCAGTCACATTTCACTTACTACAGATTGCACTGCAGATAAATTTATCATTCGCTGTTGCTTTCATGATTTAATCACAAGAATTTTTGCACACAAATTCATCAATACCAATTTCCAATAGCAGAAAAAACATATTAATTAGAAGACCTGGTTCATACAAGACGATGTGTGTTTGTCGTTGCGTATGGTTTATGTGCTGTGAATATTTTTCTGAACTAATAACATGTGAAAGGAGAGAATGATCGCTCGGAAATGATTTTGGGCCATTTGCTCTGAAATGCTATCTGATAATTTCGTTTCATTCTCAAACTGAAGAAATTGCTCATAGAATAACAAGAAGTCGCGATAAAGTATCATTATTTGGCTGTGTTGTTGAGTGTTAATGTTCAACTTTCAATCACAGCTCGCAATGTCCTATGTAAGGTGAAAATAAGAATGACTCACAATGGAAGGGTATTGGAAACTTATTGCATCTCGATTTTGGCATAAATCATTCCGAAGTAACAAATAAATCATTTATC